TTTAATAATATACTTTTTTTATAAATATAATAATTAATTATTTTGTTAGAATTCGGTAATTATCCTAATTATATTTTATATTTTTTTATATTTTAAAATAAGATGTTTATTCTCTATTTGATTATGTTTATCCGTAGTTAGTTGTATGAATTCAAACACGGAGCTTTAATAAATTGTATTTACACATAATTTACTTGTAATCTTGAATTTTAAGTAATATGCATCAATAAACAGTAATACTTCATGCATAAAAAATGATTTTTAAGAATTTTTATCAAATATTTTATAATATAGTATAGATACTTATTGATATAATATAAATACAACTGAATATATTTACCCCTATATATAGGGTCAAGTTCAAATGAGAAACTAAACATTTTATGAAAAGACATGATTACACGTATGATACACAAGTTTAATCAATATATGATTAAACACATGTTGCATTGACAACATATAGACGCTTAATTATACATGATTAAACACACGCCCAAAAAAGCACAATCATATATGATATTAAAACTTTTCATCAAATATTTAACATGTCGCATGATCCTTTCTGTTTCTATATCAGTTTTATACGATGATATCATTATTTTCATATTTAATAACTATTGCAAAATATTCTCTTAGAAATGTAACAATTCTTCAACCTTGATGTTACAAATACCAAGGGTTTACTTTACCGGTAAATTTAACACTATCATTTACTTACCGGATAAGATTTTAGTCCACAAAAAGGGCATCGTATGCAACAATTTACCCGATAAGCGTTTACGGTGGTAAGATTTTTGATCCTTACCATATTCATCCGATAAGGTAAAATGATTTGGTGTTCACTTATCCGAGTAAACGTTTGATAAACGGTCCCTAACTATTTATTTATTTTAATGCATTAATTAATCTTTTTGAAATTAATAATAATAAAATATTAAGGTGAGGCTGAGACGTAAACACCAACATGAGCACACATGTGGTGTGTTACTTTCCTCAATAATTAAATTAATATTATATTTACTAATTTTTCCTTTTTTGGTGCCACAATATTTGACTTTCATCACTTATTTAAACAAAACATAAAACTCTTTTTTTAAATAAATAAATAAACTGGTGTCGGTAATAAGATATAAGTATAAGGGTATTAACGAGTCAAGTATAATAACAGATTGTTGGAATTTGATTCGAAAAATTAATATCTGGTTTGTCGTTTTGATTGAAGCTCATATAATTTTCATCATAATAATATTGAAATCAGATATTTTTTCAATTTTCGAGTTTAAGCTCGATATTCGTTTAATAACATTGAGTCATACGCTATGATATAACATTCAATCTTTATAAGTTCTTTCATGGGTTTAAACTCGATATTGATTAAGGGATTGTTTGTTTACCTCTTAATAGTTTCATTAAAAGGCAGCATCTGAATTATTAAGAGGCGAATCTTGTTTGGCAAAAACAAGTCTCTCTCTTAATAGTTCTAAAATTCTCTTAATGATTTTGCATTCTAGGGTCTTTCTTAACCATTTAGCGCCCTAATTTCATTATAAACAATTACCAAACAATTATATTTTATTTTGCACTATATCATGAAAGCCTCTTAATTTCTGACCACTTAATCATTCTGCACTAAATCATTCAGTAACTACCAAACAACCCCTAACTCGTAAACCGACTCAAGCTCAGTAAATTTAAAATTTTGACTATATGATTTATGAACATACAGGCATGTTTGGCTCCAAAATCTGTATGTTTGTATGATAAAAATATAATTGAACTTTCAAACGAATTGAGTTGGACATTGGTGTTATGAAGTTTGGTTCGTACTCCATGAATGTAAGAGTAACGAGAACGGGATCCATAAAAACCGTATGCATTTCTACCTTCAGATGTTAAAGGATGAAGTGAACCGTTTGATAAAGTTAGGAAATAACGAGATTTGTCGGTCAGATAGATTTAGGCTATTTGACAGACATAAGCTACCTTATTTTTCGAGCTTATTTAAAAAAAAGTCTCTTTTTATAAATTAACTTACTGAAATACTACTTTGACTAAAGTTTTAATTATGACTCTGATTAATATTAACTGCTATTTATTACTATTAATTATTAACAAATATTATTAAAATATTTTATATATTTAAGAAAAATATATCTATACTATATTATAAAGTATTTGACAAAAACTCTTGAAAACATTTTTTATGCATGAAGTACTGTTTATTGATGCATGTTACTTAAAACTCAATATTACAAGTGATTTTGCATAAGTACAACTTATTAAAGTTTTATTTTTAAATTCATGTAACTAACTGCAGATAAATATAATCAAATACAGAATAAACATCTATTAAGATAATCATTGAGTCTCTAACTGAATGTTTAATTATTATCTTTAATAAAAATTATATTATTAAACCAAAAACAAATTACTTTGTTATTAGAACTAAATTAAATTATAATAACAAATTGAATTAAAGAAGTTACAAAAAAAAAACGAGAATTATTAAATAGTTAATTTAATATTAATATCGATTTTATTATTTAAATTTTCTATGCTATCTTCAAATTTATATTTAATTCAAAAATAAATACATTATTGTTTTCTCAAAACAACGTAAAATCGTATTATATCGATAAAGACAAATAATAAAAACTAAACATTAAAATAAAGATTTATCTCGCTGCATTGCACGGGTACTCTTCTAGTTTATATCAAAATATTTAATTCCGAAAGTATTGGTTTTTTTGGAAATCATAAAGAATTATTTCTTTGTCTTAATATTTAATATAAATTGGATAATTTTGACAGCAATTTCTCATTTTAGATAACCTCTCGAGAAATAATAATAAAAAAAAGACTAAAACTAATATTTAATTATTAAAAAAATCATTTTCTAAAACAAATGAACAAACCCCCCACCACCCCCCTTTTTCGACCAATATACTGTCTCCATTTCTTGTGTTTGACCACCCAAAGATTTTCTGCGTTCTTAGTAATCTGCTTATCCTTTTGCATTTCCATTAATTTCTACACATAAAAAGGGGTTCATCATTGCTCCAATCATAAACTTTTCGATCTGGGAAGTTTTTGATCAACAGCTCGCTTTGAACTCCTGTTGATTTGATCGAGTTAGAGGAGGAACATTTTGATTTCATTCCGATTGTTGATTTGAATTTTGGAATCTTTTGAAGCTTCAACCAGATTGGTTGGTGGGTTAGTAGTGAAAAAGAGGTTGGATCCACCGATTCCAATTCTGTTCCATCTCTTTGATCTTCCAATTTAGAGAGAGAGAAGTACAATTTACTTTTTTGCAAGTTGGATCTGCCTTCCTTTGTGGTAGCTTCAATCAGGTACACACATTTTTCTGGTTCGTATATATGTAATATCCTTGCGATATTTCCATAAAAGCCGATTGGTAGTGGTAGTCCTGATTGTATTCTTGTTTATCGCTTAATTACAATTGGGTATGCTCAAAATTGAAGAAGAATCGTTGGTTTAGTTCAATAGAATTGTGTTCTTAGGGTTTTCAGCTGTTGATTTCAAGGACTTTATTGCTTAATTGCAATTGGGTGTGTTGAAAATTTGCAGAAAATTTCTTAGTTTAGTTCAATAGAATCATGTTCTTAAGGACTTCATCTCTTAATTGCAATTGGGTATGTTCACAATTGCAGAAAATTTTCTTGGTTTAGTTCAAGCGAATTCTGTTTCTGGGGTTTTGAGTTGTTGATTTGAAGGACGAATTTGGTGTTTGCAAAGGGATCTGCAACGGATCCCTCAACTGAGAATCGAGTGTTTGTTTCGGTGGGTGGTCTGGAGTGCATATTAAGCATTATCAGGGCCCTGAGGATGGGGTCCTGCTTCTCTGCAGAAAGCAGGAGCCCTCTCCCAAATTCTCCGACCACCATGAGTCTTGGGGTTAAGAAGAGAAAGAACTCCCGGAAAAGGCCGCCTGGATCCCGGAGCTCTTCTTTTGATCACCGGCGGGAAGAACAACTCCATAGAATCGTTGGCCGGATGTTCTTAAATGGGTCTAGTGAAGTTGCTTCACTCTTTACTCAGCAAGGCAAGAAAGGAACCAATCAAGATGCCATGATCGTTTGGGAGGTTTGCCCCTTTGACTTTGATCTTGTTTTCTTTTAAAGAACTTGACCTTTTTGAATCTTGGATAGACCTTTTCTCTAAATTATCTGATCAAATCAAAAGATTTAGTTGTAATCAACATATGTTTATTATATTGTATGATCTCTTTGTTGCTTCATGTTTTTTTATTGAAACACAGTTGACATTAGAACTGTCTTGGGATTTGATTTATCTCAAAATTTCAACCCTTTGTCTTAATTTAGCAGTTTCAATATTTAATCCAACAATTAGTTATTGTTAGAGTCTTACTAGACTTGAACACTTTATGTTCAATATATCTTGGTACCCTCCTTGTCTCCTCAAGGGCTCTTTTGGAGCATAATCGACGGGTGGTTCCACAGATCTCTACATGGTATCAGAGCCGAGGTCTACCAGATGGTACATCTTTGCCAGTCTAGCCTTATTGGAGGGGGCGTGTTAAAGTCTCGCATCGACTAGACTTGACACTTTCTCTTCAATATATCTTGGAACCCACGTCTCTCCCCAGGGCTCTCTTGGAAAGTAATCTGATGGGGTTCCAAATATCTCATAAACATGAATGCTTAGAATCTAGGTTTCTTGAAACACAATAAGCATATTCATGAACTGCAATGTGATTTTAAACGATTTCTTGCAGATTGTGCAAAAAGGATTGATTCTTTCTTTTTTTTTGAAAGGGTAAAAGAGATTGATTCTTTTTTTTTTTTTGAAAGGGTAAAAGAGATTGATTCTAATACTGTAATTTTTCAGAATTTTGGCTCAAGAACAGACACGGTGTTCTGTGGTGTTTTTGATGGTCATGGCCCCTTGGGTCACATGGTTGCTAAGAGGGTTAGAGATTCGCTCCCGTTGAAACTAAGTGCACACTGGGAGGTTAATCTAAAAGGTAGCAATGATGTCCTCCGGGAGATTGTGGGTAGCGTGAACTCTGAAGAAAACTCCTTTAATTCTGTAAACGATGATCCCAAGGCCTCCACAAACTTTGAAGAAATCGATAACAACCCTGAAATCTTTCAAACCCTCAAGGACTCGTTTTTGAAGGCTTTTAAAGTCATGGACCGGGAGTTAAGTATGTATGCAAATGCTGATTGCTTCTGTAGTGGGACAACGGCTGTAACCTTGATCAAACAGGTTAGATAGTTGAAAAGATATAAAATTAGGGGCAAACGGTTTTCGGGTTTTGAATCTTGATTAAGAAGGATTTCTTGTTTGCTGTAGGGTCAGCATCTTATAATTGGAAACATTGGGGACTCGAGAGCTGTTTTGTGTACACGGGATAAAGATAACTCTCTTGTTGCTGTGCAGTTGACTGTGGATCTAAAACCAAACCTTCCAGGTTCTTCTCTCTGAAATGCCTTACCTTAGCACAAAGACGTATGATTTTGTTTTTGGTTTTTTGTTTATTTGTTTGTTATCGTCATCATATTTTCCGAATATCTATTCGTATTGTTACTGCTTACTCATATCTGATTTTTCAAAATTTAGTTATATATCTTTCTCTCTTTCACACACTTTTCACAAGTCGGGGGTCCTTCTGGCAACAACTGTTTGGGTGTAGAGATCACGGGTGCATACATCATACCCCGACCCCACCTCCAATTGGGATATATACTAGGTCTGTTTGGTTTGGCTTATCGTCTTTGCCCAACAACCTTTGTATGAGATACACTGGGTTTTTTTTGGTTTAGTTTATCGTCTTTGCCCAACAACTTTTCAGTGTTGTGAATTTGGTTTAGGGAAGTATGTTTATGAAAACATATTTGGTTATGTAAATATTTCTTCTTCACTTGCTTGATTGGGAATATGCTTGCAATAGGGTGTTTACACTATAGGTTGGTCATTTGAAGGTTATTAAGTTCAAAGATGTCAAAAGGTTTCATGCTCTTAATTGAAAACTCATTTAAGGGGCCGTTTACGAACTCTGACCGGATAAGCACTTACCGGGCGTCACTTACCTTATCGATGAGCATGGCTAGGACTAAGAATCTTACCAAGTAAGAGGCATAGCAAGGACCAAGAATCTTACCTGGTAAGTGAGGGTGAAGATTCTTACCAGTAAGCGCTTACTGGGTAAAAGACGTTACCACAATCCATTTTTGACATGAACAAGAGTTTGTTGCATGAACCTAAGATCCCACAAGCTCTAGAAAAGATGAAAACGTAGAGATATGAAGTTCTTATTGACATTTGAGATGATTATATGAAGATGTTGATCTATGAAATCGTGGGAGATAGAAATTGACGTAGATTAAGATCTCAATACCGTTGTGCAAATCACTAACTTATTTTTTGGGTTATTGAAGAACCCTTGTTTGGTTAGGCATAAGCTAGTTTTCACCAAACATAACTAGCTTATCGACTAATAGTTAGCTTACCAACCAATAACTAGCTTTTCAATTAAAAGCAGCCTTTTCGCTAGTTTTTATCAAACATGACTAGCTTATCAGCTAACAGTTAGTTTACTAGTCAACAACTAGCTTTTCAATAAGAGCAACCAGCTAGTTTCTATCAAACATGACTTGTTTATCGTCCAACAGCCAACGACTAATTTCTTAACCAAGAGCTAGCTTATCAGTTTGTTCGCCATACGTAGCCTATGTTGATATTGCAGGAAGGAACAAAGGCCTCGAGATGGCCTTGTTTGACATGGATAGGCATATATATACCATTTAAGGTGGTTGGAAAATTAGAAAGAAGACGGTTTCTTCAAATATTAGTTGGTTTGGTAATAATAGATGAGATTTGTATAATGATCATTGTTTACATGTCTAATTCATACAGCGGAAGCCGAGCGGATCCGTAGATGTAAAGGGCGTGTATTTGCCTTGCGGGATGAACCTGAAGTTGCCAGAGTTTGGCTACCAAACTATGACTCTCCTGGGCTCGCCATGGCCCGTGCCTTTGGTGACTTCTGTCTCAAGGATTTCGGTCTCATCTCGGTCCCTGAAGTTTCCTATAGGCGCCTAACCGAGAAAGATGAGTTCGTTGTCTTGGCAACAGATGGGGTGGGAATTCCCTCCATTTTCACTAATCTTGGTTTACTCACATTTTTCACAAGTCGGGTCCTCACAGAAACAACCATTCTATCCAAAAACTTTTGGGTAGATGTCCAAGACCCTACTTTTGAGCGGGATACTGGATTTGTTCCATTTGGTTTGGTCTGGTTTATGGTCTACATTGATAACTTCACTGACGTGTATATACACATGTAATCTTTAACGCAGATTTGGGACGTGCTCACAAACGAAGAAGTGATCAACATCGTAGCGTCGGCCGAATCACATTCCCGTGCGGCTCAAGCCGTGGTGGAGTCGGCGGTGCGTGCTTGGAGGCACAAGTTCCCGACTTCTAAAGTCGACGACTGTGCAGTGGTGTGCCTGTTTCTTGGACTGGATGCAACGACTTCCGCCACCAAATGGAAGCTGGAGGGGAAGGACGTGGCGGAAAGAAGCGTCGACGTGGAGGAAGAGTCGTCGTCCGGAAAAGACTGGTCTGCCCTTGAAGGGGTGTCACGGCTGAACACATTGTTGACCCTGCCAAGGTTCGTCCCGGGTGAGGACGAGGAAAACCATGAGCCCGGAGAGATTTGAAAAGCGTGGGTATTATTGTCATTTTGTATTCTTTTTCTCTTCATGTTTTCGGTTTCTTTGAGCTTGAAAACCATATAGGGTCTGGTTGGTTATTGAAGAACCGGGCTGGGTCAGGTCGGGCTGGGTCGGGTCGGGCTGGGTCGGGTCGGGCATATCCTTATTTTTTTGCTCGGAAGGGTAGAAAGGGAATTTTGTGAAACCAAACTCTTTGCCATTTTTTTCCTTTTCAGGATCGTGTGAGTTGTCAATCAAAAGCTATGTTTATTTCAGTAATTTTATCATTTTTAGAATATGTATATATTACATCATGTGTTTTTTTTTACATAAATCGCGATAAATTTGAAAGTATATTGATCGACAAACCGGTCGAGTGGCTCATTTCGGTTAAAATTTGATATATGGTAACGGGTTTTGTTGTATAAAGTGGTGAAATACTGACTGCTGTCATGAGATTTCTAAATTCAATGTTTGTGTGTTGAGATCTCGGGATTTAAATTCTGACTTCCCTTTTAAACCAAATCTGGGATTTGAATGGAACCCAGTTCAAAATTTCACAAATTAAACATGTTGGACTGGATTTGGAACTGAATTTCATTTCAATTTCATGTTTGGTTTGAAAGATGTATTAGATTTGAAATACCACAAACATGGGATTTAAAATCTCACGGAGATGGTGGGTATTTCATGGGATTTTGTAGGATTACCATGTATTAATGTTTTAAAAATATTGTTTTGTAATAATCCCATTGGGTCGTTATATACTTGATTTACATCTCACACAATTCTCTTGAAGCAATTCAAGGGTTGTCGGTTCAAGTGTTTGTAACCGTCAATCCCTAAACCAGTTCAATAGAATCATTTGAGATGTAAATAAGGTACACAACGGACCTGTTAGGTGAGCTGACTTAAGAACACAGGTCCCACAATGAGCCTAATAACCAAAGCAATTGTAACTCCTACACTGTGATAGATTTGTATATCGCTCTGGAAACAACTGTGCAATACTCCGAGGGGTAGCTATTTATGTCGAGTTACTTATTTACAAGGAAAAAGCCTTTAATATTGTACTATTAACTACGCTTGTAGGATCTTTTCGAGGCCAAACTAATTATACAATTTCATGAACGGAGATTTCAGTAATCGTCTACCCCATTGATAAGTTTAGGGCATATCTTTCGGGTTCAACAGTCTATTATCTTCTTGGACCATGCCCCTCTTCGAAATATCAAATCCTAAATAATATGTTCAACCGTGGAACTCGTGATTCTGTGTTCATGGCGGACGACAACTCTACCTTCCTCCACGTCCTTGCCGTCTCCAGCTTCCATTCGGCAGCGAAGATTGTTACATCCAGACCAAGAAACAGGCACACGACTGCACATTTTAGAAATCAGGAACTTGTGCCTCCAAGCACGATTCCATCACGCACGGGAATGTGATTCAGCCGATGCTACGATGTTGATCACTTCTTCATTAAGCATGTCCCAAATCTGCGTTAAAGAATGTATATACATCAGTAAAGTCATCATTGTAAATCTTAAACCAAACCAAACATCATGATATTTTAACTCAAATATGATGATATAAATATAAGTATATACTGATAGAACGAGAATTATGCGAGAAGGTGAACAGTTTCCGAGAAGACGAGAAGGAATATGAGTTTCATACCTTATTTAGTAAATGAAGTAAATAAAACATTATTAAATTAAATTAATAGCATTGTCAGTAACTATGAAAGTTACCATAATAAATCGGGATTGAGTTTATTTTCCAAACCCGTTTCTAATAATCTTTAATAAACCGATTTCATCATAAAGATAAATCTGTACAGTTTGATACAGATTTTTTTCGTATATGATAATTTGCTCCATTAATATAAGGGAAAATTGCACCAAAATGGAACCAACTTTCACCTGATTCCTATTTTGGGGAACCAACTTTCACCTGATTCCTATTTTGGGGAACCAACTTTCAAAATCGTCATTTTGGGGAACCAACTTGCATCTGATTCCTATTTTGGGAAACCAACTTGCAAAATAATTATAGAAAAATAACTAAAATTCATTTCTTTTCAAAAATTAATGCAATAAAATCTATTTTTCATTTCAAATCTCGTTTTTTTAAATTCAGATATCAAATTGAAGATTTTTCAAAAAAAATCCAAATTATAACGATAAAAATTGTTTTTTACTAATGCAATAAAAAATCAATTTAATAGAAAAAATTAATTGATGCAATAAAAAATAAATATTAAATATCACATTCAAGATTTTTATATCTAAGAAATCTGTGTCAATATTAAAGTTTAAATCAAATTTGGCAAATTCAACCAAAAGTTTGACAGAGACCCTTAAATTATCTGTTACTTGTTCAACAGATCAATCAGACCCTTAAATAAACAAAAAGTTCGATAGAGACCCCTAAATGACGATTTTAAAAGTTGGTTCCCCAAAATAGGAATCAAGTGAAAGTTGATTCCATTTTGGTGTAATTTTCCCATTTTTCTATAATTATTTTGCAAGTTGGTTCCCCAAAATAGGAATTAGGTGCAAGTTGGTTCCCCAAAATGACAATTTTGAAAGTTGGTTCTCCAAAATAGGAATCATGTGAAAGTTGGTTCCCCAAAATGACGATTTTGAAAGTTCGTTCCCCAAAATAGGAATCATGTGAAAGTTGGTCCCATTTTGGTGCAATTTTCTCTTAATATAACAAACATATGTAGTAACTGTACATTTTTTGTTAATCATATGTGATTATATATATTTACCGTTATACATCTTATTGTGATGCAAATATTATCACATATGGTAATACGTAACTTAGTATCACATATATATTATCACATGTGATATGTATAAAATTTACATAGTGGATCATATGTGATACATAACATATCATATATTACACGTAATTAATCATATATGATTCAAAATATGGATCTAAAAAATAGAGAGAAAAATGATGAAAAAGATAATCGATTGATTGTGGATATCATATGTGATTTTGACGAAAATTATGAATTTTTTTAATAAAAAAATTATCTAAAAAACAGTGAAAAAGTCATATAAAAATTGACGAAAAAATTATGAATTAATTAAAATTAAAAATCAAAAATTTCACTTCGATTTTCGGACCTCAACATCCTGTTGCTCATGGTGTTTCACGATCAGTATTGGAAATGAAAGAAGTGGTGGAACTTGCGGAACCACATATTGGATCACTAAGAGTGTGTTTGGTGTCCAGACAAGACAGAACAGGACAAGACATGATAGAACAACTGTTCAATGTTTGGTAAGATAAAATTGGACATAACAGAACAAGTAAAATGACCAATTTACCCTTGATGAGTTGTTTATTTTAATTAATTTATGTAACTTATTAAATTATAATAGAATAATTATTTTTTATAACAAAATATATCATTTGAAGTTTTCGTCAAAACAATTAAAATGACATCAAATAAAAAGTTTATGTAGTTTATCTATTTTTATTTTTATCTATTTTATACATTATTTTTTATTATTAATATATAATAAATTACATAAATTAATAAAAATATAGAAACCGTATAAAAATAATATTTTGAGGACAGTAAAATGAAAGTTTAAGAAACAAAAAATACAATAAATAAAATTTAAAGAATGAATAAAATGTAAAAAAGACATATTAGATGTTTTAGAAAAGAATTAAGTTTTATTTTGAAGTTATATTGATAAAATATAGGTCTGTTCCACCTTGTTCTATGGGGTAGAGGCGGAACAAACTTGTTCCACTTTGTTCCACATAAAATCCATGCCAAACATGGGACAAAGATCTATGTCATGTTCTGTCATGTACTGTCCAGTGTATCAAACGCACCCTAAGAAATCCATTCGAGGAACATGGAGACTAATTGAAATAACGAGTCTCCCAATAAAATAAATAAAGCTTAAATATACAATGTGATTTTTAGGAGTTTAAAATAATGCTTTTGTTACAATAATATCCTTAACTAAATATTTGATCCAAATTAAAAATGTAAGATGCCATTTACGGAACGCTTATTCAGATAAGCGTTTACCAAGTAACATTATCTCATCGCATGAATATGGTAAAGACCAAGAATCTTACGCGGTAAGAGCAAGACAACGACCAAGAGTCTTACCCGGTAAGTGAGGGCGACGACTCTTACCATGATAAGCGCTTACCAAGTAAATTGTTACATACAATATCGTTTTAATGGACTAAAATTTTACCTAGTAAATAAATAATAGTGTTAAATTTTACCCGTAAACAAGGGAATTTCGAAAGCCGACCTAGGTTACGTATATAATTCCAGCAAGTACGTTAACATATAAAAGCCCACAGACACAAACAGGAAAAAAACAAAGTGAAAGATATTAGAAACCCACAAACAACCCCCACCTCCTTCCTCCTCCTTTGCCTTTGGAATTCAACCCCTATAAACCTACCTACCTGCAAACCTCCATTGTTGATCCCTTCCACCATGATTAGTCTCTCAGACTTCTACCACGTCATGACGGCCGTCGTCCCTCTCTACGTCGCCATGATCTTAGCTTACGGCTCCGTCAAATGGTGGAAGATCTTCACCCCCGATCAATGCTCCGGCATCAACCGTTTCGTCGCCCTCTTCGCCGTCCCTCTTCTCTCCTTCCACTTCATCTCCACCAACGATCCTTACAAAATGAACCTCCGTTTCATCGCCGCCGATACCCTCCAGAAACTGGTGGTGCTGGCGGTGCTCGCCGTCTGGAGCAACCTCAGTAAAAGGGGCTGTTTAGAATGGTCGATCACGCTCTTTTCATTATCGACGCTTCCGAACACACTGGTTATGGGCATTCCTTTGCTTAAAGGAATGTATGGTGGTGATTCCGGTAGCTTAATGGTTCAGATCGTTGTTCTTCAATGCATTATTTGGTATACTTTGATGCTGTTTTTGTTCGAGTTTCGCGGTGCGAGATTGTTGATTTCGGAGCAGTTTCCGGATACCGCGGGCGAGATTGCTTCGATTCATGTCGATTCGGATATTATGTCGTTGGACGGGCGGCAGGTGTTGGAGACGGAGGCGGAGATTAAGGAGGACGGGAAGCTTCATATCACCGTCCGGAAATCGAACGCGTCGAGATCGGACGTGTTTTCGAGGCGGTCGCAAGGGTTCTCGTCGACCACTCCGCGTCCGTCGAATCTTACGAATGCGGAGATATATTCTCTGCAGTCGTCGAGAAACCCGACCCCAAGAGGGTCGAGTTTCAACCATAATGATTTTTATTCCATGGCGGGCGGTGGGAGGAACTCAAACTTTGGGGCGAATGATGTTTATGGGCTCTCTGTGTCCAGAGGGCCCACGCCACGACCTTCCAACTATGAAGAGGAAGGCGGTGGAAGCACCGCTAACAAGTCTCGTTTCCATCACGGGGTGCTGGGTGGTAACTACCCAGCACCTAATCCGGGGATGTTTTCTCCATCAACAGGAAAAACAGTTCCTCCGACACTAAAAAAAGCCAACGGACAAAAAGCAGAAGAAGGTTCGAATGATCTACACATGTTCGTCTGGAGCTCGAGTGCTTCTCCGGTTTCCGACGTGTTCGCAGCTCGGGAATACGGAACCCTCGACCCGCAAACTACAAAAGACGTAAAACCGCCGATATCGCCAGTAAAAAGTCGGTATTCGTATGATTTTCCTTTTTATCGCCACCTTTTTTTTTTTTATCAAACTACGATAAATTAAAATGTTGCATTTATTTTAGGTCACGGAGAAGAGTACTTGCCCAGAGACGAGTTTACTTTCGGAAATAACATAAACATCGAAGGCGGGAAGGGCAAAGGCGGTGGCGGCGGCAAGAGTGGCGTCAAGACGATGCCGCCAACGAGCGTCATGACGAGGCTCATATTGATCATGGTGTGGAGGAAACTAATCCGAAACCCGAATACGTATTCAAGTTTGATCGGTCTCATTTGGTCTCTAGTATCGTTCAGGTAACAACTGATTAAAACGTCATGCGTATTTTCATTTTTTATTTATATTTTAAAATAAATATATTTATGAATCGTATTTTGATGATCGCAGGTGGGATGTAAAGATGCCTGCGATCATCGAGAAGTCGATATCAATTCTATCGGATGCAGGTCTTGGCATGGCGATGTTCAGTCTCGGTTAGTGCTTAAACATTCTTTTCTATCGTATTTCATTTCATGTTCCACCAACATCCAACATCAAATTTTATCTGATTTGATATATAATTTAATAAAAAAATATATAATATAAATATAAAAAAAATATATAAATAAGGGCAAATTGTATAAAAAAAGTAACGTACTTTAACTTAATTTTTATTTTGGTACCTAAGATGTAAAGTTTTTAACATTTAAGTACCCGAGTAACCAGCTGAAGCATTAATCGGTTACTATGTTGATGTGGTGAGTGATGAGATGAAATTGGGTTGAATAACAAATAATACTGAGTTGGATACTACATCACTCGCCACATCAGCGTCGTAACCGGTTAATGCTTCAAACGGTTATCCGGGTACTTAAATGCTTAAAACTTTACATATTAGGTACAAAAATGGAAATTTTAAAAATCATTACACATAATAAGAATCAAGTTAAGTACGTTATTTTTTTCATGCAATTTGCTCTAGAAATAACATAAAATAAAAATTTAGATTATGAGAAATGAACTCATATTATATATCGAATAATGGATTTATTTTGTAATATATATTTTATTATTTTAAAATAAATAACGATAAAAATATAAAAACATCAATTTTGGATGTTAATATTCAAATTAACAAATGAGAAAAGGAATCTTTCCGAAAAAAGAAACTTTTTCAGAAAATATTTATATTTTTTTAGAAAAAAGTTGGAATGTATGTTTCTCCGTAATAAAATAAAACGTTTTATTTGACGAGAATTAATATAAGGGATTGTTTGGTATTTGCTGAACGATTTAATACAGGATGATTAAATAGTCAGAATGATTAAGAGACACTTATGATATAGTACAAAATAAAATATAATTATTTGGTAATTGTTTACAATGAAATTATAACGCTTAACAGAAGCCCAGAATACAAAATCTTTCAGACGGTTTTAAAACCATTAAGAGACATAAATTTTTTTGTCAAACAAGATTCATCTCTTAATAATTCAGATGTTGCTTCTTAATGAAACTATTAAGAAGTAAATAAACAACCTCTAAAACAAGTATATGGATAAAATCAATTTTACAAATATCTTGTTACATTACTTATCAACTTATTATAAGTCAGAAGGGTTTAACTTCTTCAAAAACTTCTTATTACCAGTTTGGCACTGGTATAAGTTGTTTATCCAAACACTCAAAAGTGATTATTACGGGTGTCATACCAGAATAAGTTAACAAATTATTTTTATAAGCAATCTCAAACACCGTTTAAACATGTTATATATTTTGTAATAAATCTTTAATATTTATTTATTTGAATAAAAATGAAAAGTGAGAAGGTGAGTGGCATGTTGTCCGCCTCTTTTTTTTGAATTTTGATATTCTTTTACTTTATTATATTATTTTAAAATATCAATACGATGTTTATAAAAAGGTTAAATATTACGATATTTAACCTCTTTATTTAAATTAAGATCATGGTAAGATTTCAATTTAAATATACAAGTAAACTGTAATTATAAAGACTAGAAGAGTATTTGCATAATGCAGCGAGATACATCTTTATTTTAATTTATTGTTTTATTTTTTTATCTCTATTGGTATATAATACGGTTTATGTGATTTTGATAAAGATAATATTTTTACTTTTGAATAAAAATAAATATAAAGATATATCTTCAAAATTTTGAAAGAATCTATCGATATTAATATCAAATTAACTATTTAAAAGTTCTTGTTTTTTGTATAATTTATTAATTTAGTTTTTATTATAATTTAATTTAAGTCTAACAGTGAAGTAATTTGTTTTTGGCTTAACAATATAGTTTTTATAAAAATAATCATTATTTTAATTATATTTTAAATGTTTTATATTTAAACATAAGATGTTTATCTTGTATTTGATTATCTTTATTTACAGTTAGTTATAGGAATTCAAAAATTGATCTTTAATAAGTTATACTTACGTATAATTTACCTGTGATTTTAAATTTTAAGTAATATTTATTAATAAACAGTACTTCATGCATAAAAAATAATGGTTTTTAAAAGTTTTTTTTTTTCAAATGCTTTATAATATTGTATAAATTAATATAAGAATTTATAATGCTTACATATTAATTTAATTTTATATTGGTTTATTATTATATTATATATTTAACCTTGATTTCAACGTATTATGGATTTGTAGTCAAAAGAATCTTAGTAAATCATTAAATATTTAACTTAATAAAAAGAATATTTGGTTATTCCAAAATGTCTTGAACCCCCTTTAAACCTTACCAAAAAAAAACAAAAGGGTTGGTAACATGTTAAAATACCGTGTATATTAGTTACAGAAGGGGTGCTTAAAAACCCGACCAACTCGAATAATCCAACATGAAATAACTCAACTCGAAGCAACTCGATGTCTAATCAAGTTGTAAATTTTTTAACCCATAAGTGTTGGGTTGATATTTGGTTACTGTTATTTGAACTCAATCTAACCCTGATATCATTTTATTTCTTGGATTTTCATATGATTTTTTATGAATATATGCATTAGACAATTACACTATCACGTACACTATTTATATACACGTACTTTCAATTTATTCACATCTTTATATAACTCATTTGTATATATATGTCCAGTAACTGTGAACATATATATGTAAATTGAGAAAATTAACTGAATGCGATATACGTAAAGAAGTATAGATAAGTTGTATTAAATGATTGATGATGAAAAGGAAATAATGAGTAGAGAAAAATAACATATTCAAGATTAGAATAATATTTCAATATACCAAATAACCAATTCGACCAACCTGTACGATTTCGGTTGAGTTAGGTTAAGATTTTTCAAACCGTAAACATTAAATTGGATTGTTTAAATGTTTTCAACCCGATCAACCGAAGTCATAAAAGGAAAGAGAAAAGGGTATGATAAAAGTTGATATTGGAATTAGTTAGGCATGGTGATGGTGATGATGATGATGACGATGACGAGGATGATTATTATTAGTGAGTGGTGGACCGGTGAAGGTGAAGGTGATGGTGATGGGGATCATGATGGAAAAGCTGTTTTAGATTGTCGGGGGGGTGGAAAAGTAAATATGACTTCTTTGATTGATTCTAGGGTATCAAATCACCCCCACCCCCCAAGGCTAATTTCGTAAATTCATAATTCCTTTTATTCCCTTTTATTATTTAATCAATATATAAATAAATAAATAAATAAAATAATAGATGATGATGATGATGATGTACATAGGATTGTTCATGGCATTACAACCGAGGATCATAGCATGTGGAAATTCGGTGGCAGCTTTTGCAATGGCCGTGAGATTCCTTACAGGACCAGCTGTCATGGCAGCTGCTTCCATTGCCGTTGGACTTCGCGGCGTCCTCTTACGCATTGCTATCGTTCAGGTTACCTCTTCTCCATTTTTTCTTATTTTATATATTTTTATACTTGAAATTTCACAATAAAACATTATGAAGGTAACTTTCAGACTGTTTTTAACTTTATAATATTTTGATGTAAAGTTTAAAATGTAAAAATACAATTTATATATATATATATATATGTATGTGTATGTATAGATGACATGTGAGAGTCACGTGAATGATGAAAGCGTGCACCGGGTTTTATTATATATAGACCACACTCAATCCGACACTCCCATTTTGTCTGCCACTCTTACCCCTTTCTTTTGTTTTTTAATTAATATCTCTAACCTTAAAAGGATAAAAACCATAATTAATTAATCTTTATACTTATACTTTTTACATATATATATATATATATCATAATAAATTTAATAATAATATGCTTTTATTCCATTTTAAAAGCATATAAATCGGATAAAAGTTGGAACTAAAAACGTTGTTTATTAGTTATTTATTAAGTAAGGAGTCGTTTATTTAAATGCTTACCTGGTAAGTGCTTAACGTTAGGAGTCAATACGATAATTTATTTTATTGGGTAAGATTGTAATACATCAAGACATATCATATGCAACAATGTACCTGATAAGCGCTTACCAAAGTAAGAGTCGTCACCCTCACTTACCAGGTAAGACTCTTCATCCTTATCGTCGCTCTTACCAGGTAAGCGTTTAGTAAACGGTCTCTTAATATTTATTGATTATCGCTTATTTTTTACCTGATAAATATGACAAAGATTAAAAATCATACCTTTTAATTAAAAGAAAAGACTCATTGAAGTAGGTGACTTTTACTAGTCAGCATCTCATATTAACAAAACCCTAATCCCTAATCGTTGTAAAACCACATTTTATACATATATATTCTGATAAGAACCTGAATAAAATACGTTCTGTTGTAATAATGTAATTTTCTCGTAAAAATCTGTAGTTTGAAAAAATATATATAAAAAAGGGTAAACTAAATGCACCTCTAGACACTAATTTTCACCTAACACATATCAACATCAATAGTTATTTTTTTTATATTTTTAATATATGATTTAGGGAGTGTTTGAGATTGTTTATTTGAAACAACTTATGTTTTTGTATAAACATTTATCAACTTATTATAAGTTAGAAGATTTTAACTTCTTCAAAAACTCCTTATTACCGGTTTGGCACCGTTACAAATTTCAAACACTTAAAAATGCTTATTACCGATGTCACATCGAAATAAATCAATAAGTTGTTTATATCAACGTGACATGTAAATATCCTTAAATTTGTTTATTTATGTATTTATTTATTATAAAATAAAAAGGGAATTTTCTGATTGGTTAAAAAAACAAACAGGCAGCTTTACCACAGGGGATTGTCCCCTTTGTGTTCGCCAAGGAGTACAATGTCCACCCTGATATCCTTAGCACTGGGTACGTTTTCTTCTCTTTTCCTTTTCACTTTATCCCTTTTTATTTATTTTTTTATTTATTTTTTTAATATTTAAATATAAATTGATTCCTTTTCCTTTTGTACTTATTATGTTTTTCTATACTTAATTTTTTTAAGAATATTCAATATTATTATTATTATTATTATTATTAAATTCTGTTATATTTTTGCAGGGTTATATTCGGAATGTTGATAGCATTACCCATTACGCTCGTCTACTACATTTTCCTCGGGCTCGGGAAATAGTCGATGCTGACGTTATAATATTATCTTGGTCAGAAATACGTCAAACGGTTGGTCACGTAGTTTTCAGGGTTTTTTTAGTCGCAGGAGATAGGAAAAGATTGTGATTGGTTAATTGGGAATCCTTTCACGTTGTTTACTCGAGTTGAATGTTATACGACAACACGATAAACTCGTCTTCTTGGTTAATGTAGTTTGTGTATTTATGTTGTATTATGTTTATTTACACGTCGATTATATCGAGATTTATGTATGTTTTTTTTTTCAAGATAATAACACGAGCAGAAGAAGAAAGAATCGACCCCTGTTAGACCATGATCGATGTTAATTTGTCAACAAGCGTAGGGTCCCACTTTGCCCCTCGAAGCATGAGTTTGGTGTAGCAGTGTTTGGTGAATGCTGTAATGAGTGATATGTAGAACCTCATTAGATTACTTTATAAAAGACCATTTGACGAGCAATGGTCTAAGGGGATGTTTACTTGCTGTTTAATTAGGCTTATTGGTTTATCTGACTTATTCGCACAGCTCATTTGGGTTGTTTACTTACGGCTTATTCGCATTTAACATGGCTTAATCGCACAGATAGAAATGGTGTGTTGTCCTCATTCAGCCACAAAAATGACACTCCTACCCCTTATTTAAAGCACCACCTCCTTCCCATATGAGACACCCATCGTCGGCCTCTTTATGATTTTTTGTTTTGATGTTCAAATAACTAATATTGGGGGGTAAATCGGTCATTTATGTTATTCAGACTGTTGGTTCAGATAAAAAAAAATAACAACATCCATTTAACCAGGCAGACAAATTTATCCATACAGAACTTAATAAAAAATTTGGTAAACTGCCCATAAGTCTAATCGATATGAGAGTCTGACAGACGGACACAAATTGTGTCGAGTCCTTAGAGTGGTAGACCTTGGTTTTGATACAAAGTAAGAGAACATGGAACCCCATTAGATTCTTCTCCATATGATATATGGATAAAAGAAGGAAAATTCCAACATATATGAAGCATAAATGGTCAAAATGTAGCCAATGAGGAACTCCGATGGTTGCCATCCTTTTCCCTCTCGTTAGTTTGATAGTTAGGCCCTAATCTCGAAAAATACAGTGAGGATTTCAACACAGAAGAACCATGCTTCAAGATTTCTAGCCACGTCATTTTGACGTCATCTGGGGGACTTCAAGCGTCTTACCCTCCGTGGAGTACTGTTTGAATATATGGAACCCAATTAGATTACTTTCTCAAAGAGTCCTGAAATCCATCTGAAAAAACGGTAATTTGTTAAATTTACAGCATAAAAATTGATTAATTGTCAACAACCATATTCTGTATTAATTGTCAAAATTGATTAATATATTCTGTAATTTGTTATATCCCTCTGTGGAGTACTGTTAAATAATGTAACTTTTGTAAATCAGTTTAATTGTCATGTCACTTCTTAATTGTCAACAACCATATTCTGTATTAAACATGGTCAAAGGTCCGAGATTGTGCTGAAACAGTAACAAGCCGTCGAAAACACCAAGACCCGGTTAAGGGTATTTAAGCCCATTCCTGACATTTTATGGGCCTTGGACGAATGTATAAACAGGGCCCACTGCAAGAAACAAGACTTTTAGCAAGGACTTTTGTTGTCGCTAAAAGTCCATTTATCATCAGAAAGAGTATATAACAACATGTCGTCGCTATAACTTGTGACGGAAACATGTTATCGCTAAAAAACGCATCGTTAAAGCTCACTTTTTTTGTAGTGACCCTCGGTAAGTACGAACAAAAAATTCAATAGATGTAATTTATTGATTAATTACAAAACCATGAAACGCGTCATAAATTATAAAAACAATAGATTGATTGTAAACATAGTAAAATATTTTATGTAAAAGCAAAAATAGATAACAATAGTCAACAAAAACAATTAGAACAACATAACCAAATAGCAATAGTCAATAGAAGTAGAAATTGACAAAAATATCCAACAAAAATATATGGCAATAGCAAACACATGATCTTAATGTTGAATTATTGAAATACGAAAACAGTCAAGCATATAGAGATAGCAATAACCAATGTCATTGGACCTTGTTGAAGATAAAAAAAGTTAGAGAGGCAATAAACAATAGCATATAATGAATGACCAATTAATTCTTTTTATTTTTTTCTCCAATATAATTAGTTGATATATTTTTAAGTTCTTATTATCTACTAAATTCTTTTTATCTCTTATTATATGCTACAATCTTTTGAATTTCTTTAATTTATTAAATTCTTTTAGACTACCATTGTTTTTAAGAAAAAAAATTGGACCCCTAATATTTTTGGGCCTTGGGCGTACGCCCGTGCCACCCTCTCCCAGGTAGAGATGGCCAAAATCCGGTCCCGGGCCGGTCCTTAACCGGTCCCTACTGGTCCTAATCAAGACAAAAACCGACGGTAACCGGTCCTGCCATAACCGGTCCCGGTCCTGATCCTGGTCCTGGTCCCGGTTCCGGTGAAATACCTTGTAACCGGTCAAAGCTTACCGGTAACCGGTTAAGGAATCCGGTCCCGGTCCCATAACCGGTCCCATCCGGTCCCGGCCAAAAGAAATATTTTTTTTTCAAATTTTTGTTTATTAATAAATTTTTAATATGTTATTAATATGTTTGTAATATGTTATTTTTAATATGTTTTATATAAATATGTTTTATTATAAATACGTTTAAAAATATGTTTTGTTATATATATATATATACACGTTTAATTTTATAAATACGTTTAAAAATATGTTTTGCTATATATATATATATATGTATATATATATATACGTTTAATTTTATATATATATATATATATATATATACACGTTGACTTTTGTTGACCGGGCCGGGCCGGTCCTATAACCGGTTACATAACCGGTTCCGGTCTTAACCGGTCTCGGTCCTAAAAAACGTTAAAATCCATAACCGGTTCATAACCGGCGGTCCACAACTGGTCCATACCGGTCCCCGGCCGGTTCTGGTCCCTCTCCGGTCCTCCGGCGGTTACGGGCCGGGCCGGGCCCATTTGGTCATCTCTACTCCCAGGGACGGCCCTGAGGGTACTTGTAACCGGTCCTGTTCTGGACCCAAACCGGTTCTATATTAAAAAAACCTTTTCTTTTATTTTTTTTAATTTCTTTTTGATAAATTTTTTAAAATAATTTAATGTTATTCTAATACACTTTAAAATGTCTAATTAGGTCAATCAAATATACTTAAAAAATACGTTTTATTGCAGTTTTATAATTGGTTTTCAATCAAATACACTAAAAAATTAAATTTTATTATATTTTTATAATTGATTTCAATCAAATACACTTGAAAAATATGTTTTATAATTTGTAATTTGATTTTCAATCAAATACACCTAGAAAGTTAAAATTACAAATAAAAATACATCTTTTATGGAAGAAAAAAAAATCAAACCGGTCCGAGGCTAGGCCTATAACCGGTCCCAATGGGTGCCGGGCCAGGCCGGTCCTAAGTCGGTCTTGGTCCCGGTCCTCTGCCAGTCCCGAGCCCGGGCCGAGCCTATTTGGCCATCTCTATTTTGTATATGCACCATAAGGTAACCAGTCCTGGTCCAAATATTTTCATAACGCATCAGGTCCATGAACCAAAGTTGCCATAAGGTTTAGATACACCTATGAGTCGAGCTTTTCACGAGCTATTTGAGCTCGAGCTCGTTTATCTCAAGCTTGAACATTATAATTTTGTCAAGGCCGAATTGATCTCAAACACATGCTAAAACTCGTTTAACTTAACGCCTTAACAGATCGAGCTTCATAACATCAACGTTCGACTCAACTCGTTCGTAAGCTAGATTAAATTTTTCGCGCCAAGCCATTCAAGCATACACTTTTTCGAGCTAAACATGTTCATATGTTGATAAATCATATAATCAAAGTATAAAAATTATTGAGGTCGAGTCAGTAAGCGACCTTATAAATCTCGAGCTCAAACATTAATAAAAGATTCGAGCTCAAACTTAAGCTTGGTAATACTATTTCCGAGTTGGGCTCGAATAACCAACAACTCGACTCGTTAACACCCCTTTTTACGCCTACATAGCTTGGTATACGCTACCATGAACTCTTAAGCTTATATCTGATTGTGGAGCTTATATCTGATTGTGGTTTCGACACGTCACGCTAGACTTTACACATCCTGCAGTTATATGTCGACGAACAAAATTGCGAAAGAAACAGAAAAGAGAAGCAAACCACTAAATCACCCAAAAGTTCAAATTATGGACATAAACTCGATGCCAACTGCAATTTATTCGAAAGATTGGAACGAAAAGAAGCATGAGATCATTTTCAACCGCTATTATTCTGTACAAAACAACAGCACCTAGCAACGACTATATATGTTCAAGGAAACGCAAACTATAATCAAAGACGCAAAAGGGAAGCGAACGAATGAAATGAATGATGAAAAAATACCAATCTAAATCGTACTCGAGAAAGAACAGATAAAAGTACCTGATTTAAGATGCGTATCGTACGATTAAAGGAGATGACGATCCAAATCCAGCATGAAGTGCTTTCACTAATGCAACAAATTTGCATAGATCATCTTCACTGAACCACCTCAGCTTCCAAATCATAGCTGCAACACTCCGGGACCCACGTTCAGATACGTCCCAAGGGATGAACTCTGATGCAACGGATTTGAGAGCTAATGTCACACATCCATCCTTCGCGTCTATCACCTGAAAACGGATAAATGAATAAACCAAATTTGGACAATGAATTTATTGATTCTATGGTCAACCATCAAAATGATCCTTCTGAGTATAAACCGGCAACCGTGGTCATAACGCTTGGGATGTAAAATAAAGCATGAAGTAACAAAAACAAAAAATGAAGTGATGATTTACCATTTCGAATGCATCGACAATAGAACAGCATGTATCAAGTGAGAAATACGGAGTGAATGTATCCTGAGAATCAAAACCAAACTGCAAGACGTCCTCGATGCACACCAGCATATGCCCTCCAAGAACAAACAACGATCTCGAAAACCATACACCCTCTGATGAAGAAAAGTAAGGTTAGAAGTATTATACAATACGAGATATAGAATGAAGTAAATGAGCATAAACTTCTATTACACTACATTAGGTTTTACACCAGTTATAAATAATTAAATTACCTTTTATTAATTGATTATTACAAAAGGAATGTTTTTATCATATTTTAGAACATTATTACAAACAAATCCTATGCAATCCACTGAAATACCAACTACCCCAATGAGATTTCTAAATCCAATTGTTTGTGGGATTTCAATTCTGGACTTCCCTTTAAACCACACTCGGGATTAGAATGGAATCCAATTCCAAATCCCACCAAATCCTGCAAACCAAACGGGCATAATGGTCCTGTAACCAACGACTTCATAGTACAGTACTTGCATAGGTATTATTGCTTTTCTTTATCTATGAATCGAGAATAATATGTGGCAAGCGTAGACTATAATATAAATACCTCCAAAGTTGCTGTTCCAAAATAACACCATGGTATATTGAAGGATGTTTGTTTTTGATCCCCCACATACATCTCTCTCAAACAAAGCAACCTGGATCTTATCCAAACTGATATACACATACAAAAGCGAAGGCATCAGAGAGAATAAATTGGTATACACGCGTAAACACAGAAAAATGCGGTCGTCAATTGCAACCGCCATCATGTTACGGACACAAAGTCTGAATCAAATTGAAGTTAATAATCACCTTAGCAGAGGAAACCCGGTCTTCTTGGCATTTGAATGAAAGAGTTCCAGTACAGATATAAGCAGCCTTGATTTCTCTATACTCCTAGTTATGAACATATATCTTGCCCCTCGTGTAGTGTACACCCTATTGACATCGATAATGGTATGATAAATGCAATTAACCACAATTCAATTTTAGTACGTTGTCAACAAATAATAAATTCATTTTTCAAACATAATTTTAAAAGCTTTGGTTTGGATCTATCTTTATAACATTGAAATGCTTGGTGCTTGTCAAACAACAAAAAAGTGATTAGTGAAAATTGATTATCATGAGAAGAAATTTATCATGAAATTGATTAGTTAAAATAATTGATAATGAATCAAGAAAGAAGTGTACAATTCCAGTTAAGTTTATATTAAACTCAACAAAAACAAAAACTACAAAAATAGGGATGTAAATATTGCTTAAAAAGAGAGAAAACCATAAAACCAAAAAGCCAAAAGACGGGTGGTGTAGATTGGAACGAGTATTGAAGTGCTGACTCGCTTACCTCACTGCTTGAAGTCCTAAACCTACTAAAACCTCTTTCACATCTTCATTCCCGAGGCAACCTACTAGACTTGGGATATATCCTGCAAATAGCAATGAAAGGAGCTGAAGACAAAGAAGAAGATACAACTTGCATAAGTGGTATTAAAGGATTATAACGAACTCTAATTTGCATAATTGTCATACCGCAACAAACCTAACCTGACCCATCATGTTGGCCATTGAGGAGCAGAACATACAACTTGTGTTCAGAGCTCAGTAATAACGACACGCCACTGTTGATTAACAAACCGGAAGAAAAAGAAAATAGTCAGGGGATAAAGAGCAGCAGTTTTAACCAATGATACATGTAACATGTTGACACACATTCAGCCACCATATTACCATACAGACATTTAAATTTGAAGAAGACAACAAACCAAACTAAACGAACCCAATATGTCCCACCTGGAGGTGGGGTTTGGGGAGGGTGGGATGTACGCAAACCTTGCCTCTACCCCGAAGAGTAGAGCGGTTGTTTTCGTTAAAACCCTCAGCATGTGCAAAGTATGAAATTGGAAAAGATAAAGCTTGCTCAAAAGAAAATTAATTAAATAAATAAATACATAAATAATTAGAAATTAAAAATTAAAAATTTTGAAATAGAAAAAAGGGAGAACATGAAAAAAGAAGTCAGTGTTAAAAATTAAAATGAATCAGATGTAAGAAACAACAATCAAGCAGACTAAACAAACATACAGACAGAAGCAGGACAAGTAATTATAACCAAGGGAGGAGGGCCGACATACTCTATTCTAACCCAATTGATCTAACTGCCGACCCACTAACCCTACTAACCTACGCCCAACCTTTATTTCTCCAGATCCTTTCATCCTGTCCCAGCTAGCTACCTGTTTTCATCCTAGTCAGCTACCCTAATCTTGTGTCATCCTATCCAAATTTAAAAAAGACAATAAAACATAAATTTGAATGCACCTGTACCTTGCACAAGCACCTGAGAGGGGGGAGACAGATTGAGACTTAGAACTGCTAAAGACAATCATTGCTTAATGAATAATATATCTTGCTGATCAAATTGGTTTTGCACTCAACAATCATCATACAAAATGTAAATTCGCTTGCAGTCACACACACACACACACACACACAGAGTTGCAGTGATTGTCCTTGGTAGCTGTTAATATATCTATGAGCTGCTCTTTCTCATCTTATAGCTTGCTGTAAGGTTCAGGGCATAAAAAGATGTACACTACAAGCAGAGCCCCTAAATATATAGAGTATAGTGGTGCAGCCACATCTGAACAGAGATAGAGAAACCCTGATAATAGCACAATGCAACTTCTAACACCACTTGTGCTCCTCAAAGTTGGACCCTAAGTGTCCATCATTCCAAACTTGCTACAAGTTAGTGAGTTACAAATAAATGCAATACGGGTTTCTGTCCATGTTCTCTCAGCATGTTAATAAACTAAGTCGCTAAGAATATGAACATGCTACACTGTGGTTACTAAGTAATTGATACTTAGAAATGTTTGATAGCATAAGATTGAGAGGAAACCCCATAATGGGCACAAAAAGGGTATACAGCTACAATCCTGGTCCAGATACGACAAATATGTACACAAGTAGATATGGTTATTTAATCATGGGAGATAAATGACTTTATTGGGGTGCTTTAGTAAGAATCTGCACCTCATAGCGAACTCTTTTTCTCCCAAATGTTCCATGAGAATGTGCCTATCTATGTCAATTATAAGCTTTATCCCATTATGTTGAAATAGACTGCTTAGCATGGGCTAATCCTTTGTCCATATCAAGTAATAAGTTATAAATGAACAGAACTTATGTCCACCACCAGGCCTCTCATGCGTAGTAACTCATAGACATGAGCTGTGAATGCTAAGTTTAGTATTCATGTTTTTTATTAAGCCATAAAACAATATTACCAACAACACAATGATGAACATCCATCATCACATTCACCCTGCCAATATGAGTCAACATAAGAAGAAAAAAAGAAATGTCCAAGTGAAAAGGATAAATTTTATTTTCTTGGATAATTCTTCAGATACCTAAAAGTTCAGGTGACAGAAGCTAGGTGAGATGAATACTGGCAATGCCTATCTTAACATATAGAACTCATAACTAAGTTGATTTTGGGCCAGTATGGGTTTATCAACTTGCAACAAGCTGCTGGTAAATCACCTTATTCTATTGCTTCGCCCTCTTCTACTCGAACTTCACACTTGCATCAGAAGGAATATTAATTACAACCCAATAATCTTGTTTTCTCTCATCTTAGAGTTTATTTGCCATGGAAAGCAAAGTACGAAGATTGAGTAACTTCGACATCCATGCAATATCGTAACTGACCAAAATCTTTGACAGTAACTCTTCAGCGGTTCAGCCAATGCATTTTTTAGTCAAACATCTCAGTGTTATCATAAGTCATAACCTATAATCACTATATCTACATAGAGTAGATCGTTGTATACAAGGATATATAATAGACATTGTACAATCTGCATTACTCTGGAATTACAGTGGGTTTCTTATGGCCATTACAAGCCTCACAAACAGTGCTGTCAGAGACTAATTTGATCCATATGGTGACTTTTCTAACCAGTCAACCCACCTCCTTTCTGCTTCAGAATCGACAAAGCAAGTGGGGATAGTCATATAAATTTCTTCCTTGAGATCACCATGAAGAATACATTTTTTAACCTGATTGTTGAATATCCAACTTAAGGTTGCAGCAAATGACATGAATCTTAATTATTGTAGCATTTTAGCTACTACAAGAAAAGTCTCACCAAAGGGCCTTCAACCTAGCGGTATCCAGTATCCCAACCTTCCTAGAGGTCAAGGGTTCTAACCTCACCAAAGGTGGTTAGTATGTGTGAGTTTCTTTGTCCGTATATAAATATCATATACTTCAGGAAAAAAAAAAGTCTCTTCAATAAGAAGAATATGATTAAAGCCACATGCTACAAGACCAACTTCTACCTTTCCACAAACCCATCTGGATTATGTTCAATTGTGAAAACCACTTCCAGTTAACCAAGTTCGTCCCTTGAAAATAGAGAAAAGTTTTCCAAGCCAAAGCCTTCATTCCTTTCAACATGATCAATTTCCAAATTTTCATAGCTCACTGCCTAAATATTAGGAATAGACAAACAAACCAAGAAAGAGTTGAAGACTGGTAGGGTAAGAGACACTCATAAGAAAATACACGAGCTTAACGGTGTTGAGTACTAGAGCCAACAATGATTTTCTAGGGGTAGATCTACAGTTTACATGCTCATTTTCAATGGACAACAACATTCAAACAAAAGTTTTCATCCAACCTTCTGGAATGAACCACTAGTCTTGGCATTTTTCCTGTCTTCATGAACTTGTGAAAAATCCTTGACTGAGCTATTTGGAACCCCTTACCAACTTATTACTAACAAAATCATGTTTCCTCGGCAAATTTCTAGCTTCATGCCAAGGTAAACCCTCACATATATAGGTGAATCCTTACAAACAAGTAAATGAATTATAGCATCACAATAACTTCCTCCACCAAAGAACTCCCTTGCTCATGCTAAAACCATTTTTTCATGCAACTCATTTTGTTCAGATGTGAATAAATGTTCTTCTTAGTATTACAACATTTCAAACATCTTACATCAGCTTGGTGGTCTACAAACACAGTTCACAACCAGAAACTTTGGGAGGAAGCAGAAAGACAATTTTAGGCAAGAATTTTTCCTGGAACACTACGTACATAGATACTTTGGTTGCAGCATCTAATAATTAGATGTGTTTTCAGCATTACCAGGTCAAATACTGGATGATAGTCACAGGTCAAAGGCACCTTAATGGGAAGGAATCAAATAAACAAGGTCAATTGATGCTATAGGGCCCTTGTGGCAACATGCAAATGATTGTAGATAGCATTCATAGATGGCATTGCACCCTACGGAAGCACTAGAAGACAACTTATTCTATGGTGGTTGCTAGGATAGACAACTCTGATTAAAAAGGATTATAGTTTGTACCCTGGAATGAAGATTGCTATTGGGCTTCAACAAGGGTGGACAGTGGTCTATCACAATCAGCAAAGGTGGTCGACAGTTTACAACAATCTACAAAGTGGCACTCTGGCAGTGGTGATGTAAGGACAAATGCTTTTTGATATTGCACAGGGTTATTGTTTATGGCTTAACCAATCATGCAACCTTGGCACTTGGGAACCCTGGAAGTGCCAAGTTAGCATGAAACACTCAAGAGATGACTTGGATGGAGAAACGAACACGAGTACAAAAGATTTGTTGAGAGAGTTTGTAGGCAAAGCTTGTTTGTGTTACTAGATAACTTTCTTGCTTTTGTTGGGACAATTACAAATGAAGACTCTTATTTACAGCATGGAACATCCTAGGACAAGAATCATGTAGTTCCTAGAAGCCTTGTAGGTTACAAAATATATAATTCCCTTTCATCAAGGTTACTCTAAATGTATCTTGATCTATAATATAAGACACAAGGAAATGCTATAACATTTTGGACATGCTCTATCAATAGCATAGATAACTTATACACGCAAACATAATGCAAATCCCTTTTAGGGACAATGTTCTAAGCGAGAAACTCCTGATGTGGCTAAATTGAACTTCCCAAAAAGACACTCATGCCAAACAAGTTCACTAAAGGTCATGGGAAAGTAACTCTGTTCCAAGTTAAGAGACATAATTTCAGGATTATCAATACGAGTAAGTCAAACTTTCAAGAAGTTCAATACTTGGTAACTCATCCTTTGGGAACCAAAATATTCATCTAGTCAATTGCATCCCAATCAAAGCAAGTGGCAAAGGATCAAAAATTTTACATGGTGTTATGTGTATATCCATCAACCTTGATGTTAATATACCCTTATATGGTTAAGTGAGAGCTTAGTTACATGCAGCAATACAGTCTATGTCAGGTAATGCTCAACCTCATAATGGTAGATTTCATGTTCTAAATATGTGCATATATACCTTTTACTGCACCCGGATGGCTCCTCAAGCAAACAATTGCAACACACACATTGCCTACATGTTTCCTGAACCCCAAAATCTGCAAGATCTACTTTGACGTTCTTTAAGATGAATTCTTCAGTCCCAGGGCCTGATAGATTCTTTTCAGGAAGAATCTCCCCTTTTGCAGTGATGGAGTGTATCCCGGAAACCAACATCTGGAAATCATTCATGCCAGCCTCTCGTCTACAGGCCTCCTGTACATCATTTGCACTGTAGTTCAATTTATGTGACGATTTTCTTACAACAGAATCATTAATGTCATCTGTATGTGTCACCTTCTCTGTTAATGAAATAACTCTTGGCTTCGGTTTTCTTTTGCGCATTTTCTTCTCCAACCAATTTGCTTCTTGCTTCACAAGACCGACTATTTCCCCATCATGCAGACTTCCTTCATAATTGTTGCCTAATTGTTCAGAATCCCTAAGTTCTGTATTGAAGGTGTTCATAGTGAAAGGAGACAGTGAACATGAGCCATTTTTTGTAAACTGAGCCACATCAAGCATTCTGTTGGAGTGTAAATCTTCAGAAGGGATAAATGATAGGTTATCCATACTTCTTGAAAGATCATCAGCTGTTGATTCATTATTATGTATACGTGATCCAATTTCAAAAGAATCATCTCCGCTGTCACTGGTATGGCTATCAGACGATGCCACTGAATATGACTCAGCCGATAGCTGAAGAAATTCTTCCTCCAAGTTGTGGCGACGATGCAGAATGTCCTCTTGATAATGAGGAGGTGATCCTGCATAAGCTGAGGGTGAACGAGCCTCAATAATATCATCCAGAGTGTCCAAAGGCACAAAACTACTGTTTGAACTAGTCATTTCAACCTTGCTACCATTGTTTGAATATGTCCCCTCCTCTCCAAACTTCATACTTCTAGTGGAATCAACCCCTTTATCATAATGGGATTTCAGTTTCATATGATTTGAAATAGATCCGTCTTCGTGAGCAAGGTTCAGAAGATAACTTGAGGCTGATTCGCCAACTTCATTAGGGTACTGCTGTGATACAGTATCGGTAGACAAATCATCATATGCGTAATAAGATTCTGGAACTTCCATACCATGCCCTTCAACAAAAACTTCAGCAGAACGAGATACATATCTTGATGTTTTACCAAAATGCTTTAGCCTTCTCTTCTTTCTAGAATCCTTTTCTTTGCCGAGAATCAAGGCAAGCCCACTCTGCATATCATCACTCTTTACATGATCATCAGAAACATGATTCATCCACCGTTGAAACTCCTCCAGCCATGAATCAGAACGCTCCCTTTTCATGAACTCAAGTTTGTTAATGAAATCAACTATTTCAGCTCCCTTATTTGAATCAGTAATCTCCTGTTTGATCCGATCCTCATCGTCACCCGAGTCATTATCAGAATATACAATTATGCTCGCTGCTTCACTGTCAATACTGGCAACACGAGATAGCTTCTTCTGAAAAATAGGTCAAAATGGTCAAGCAGATCCTAAAAATCATGCATGTTATGTAGACTTATATGCAATTATGAACAAAAATCAATGTACTAATTACCAACCATTTTTGTGTTAACGCTCCCCTCTCCCTCAGCCTCAGCCTCATATTTGGCTGGGGAATAAAACCCAAAGCTAGCTGGCTGCTTATGCCTACTGGCAATGATAATCTGTCGCTTCCAGCCCTCTCTAGTTGAGATCTTTTTGCCATCCAGAATCAGCTTTAATGTTATACATAAAAGAAAACACTAAATATTGTATAAAAGAAGTTGAAATGGATAGGAAGTAGCACAAAATATCCACCATAGCAGCATTAATGACAATTAATAAAATAATATTATATAATTTTCCAATTCTCACCTTATCAGGATCAGAGAAGAAACTATAGACTTGTGGTCTGTACCAGTTGGCAGAACATACTGGATTTCCTTCTAACCACAAACTTCGTAGTGACGGAAGACCAGCTAGGAGTTCCAGCTCCGAAAAGTTGGAAATAATATTGTAAGAAAGATCAAGCCCCTCGAGTGATTTTAGATTCTCCACCCCACGCATAGTAGTAAGAGCATTGTTCCTCAACACTAGTTTCACAATTTGACATGAGACCTGCATACAAGAATATCGTTTCTTACAGCTAGTTTAAGATAGATACCTTCGTATGTGAAAACATGCATCCCAAAGATAATTTCTACTTGTAGGTGCACTCAATAGGACATGATCAATTACAAGAAAAATAAGTAACTTGACCAGGTTATCGACATAAAACCATAAATAGATCAAATCAAACGAACAAACGCATCAAGATGTACCATGAATGCATTTTGCTCTTATCTAAACAATTTTTCGTATCATATTCTGATGGTTCATTTATCCAAACAAATGCTCTTGGAGAGATAAATTTATCATGCTTAAACCAGATAGAAGATTTACAAATGAATATCAAGTACAAATATCTAATTTCCTGAAAGAGAGCAACAGAGTGTACTTGTGAGACACTGATAAGCAAAATATAAGAGAAACTGGTCAGAACCCACATAATCAAGGGATACTGAAATAACAAGATGAGCTTGTTTGTAGAACAATGAGAATCTTATGAGATGCTCCTGATGAGCCTATTAAAGTAACTTATTGTTTGCAATAGTAATAACTTTACCTTTTTTGCTCGTCTTACAAGATTTTCATCTATCTATAATCTATGTACAGTAGTTGTCATGCAAAATCGCCATATTCAAGCGATCATAAACAATGCATTGTCCTAATTATGTTATTATTTATTTAAAAACGTAAGTGCAATATTCTTGCCACATGCATATTTAGATAATACAAAGATCCCTAACATAACTAGATATAGCACTCATTATAAGGATACTTATATGACTAATAGCAACTGACTTGTAACAGAATTACTGTTGAGAAGTATTCTTCATCACATCCATTTTCGGGGACGACATGCACAATTTATCAAAAGAAAAGTGCCAGCATAAAATGAAAATTTTAATCACCACTATTTTCACATTTCCCAACTCATCAAAGCCAACAGCTTAACTTGATGTATGCCAACCATAAATAAATGTAGCATCTTTGCAACAGTTAGAAAATACTCATCTCGCAAAGATCCATTTGACCACTAGAAGACTGCCATACATGCTCATTTAATTTCGAACAATGTTTAACTCTTTGTGTATCACAGCTGGAAACATAACATCAACTCCTTGGTTCAAAGTTCAAACTGCACTTCTCTTCCAAAATAATTCTAAATTTCCAAAGTGAACATACCAAATGTCCATGGGAGTGATGCAGACAAGAGAAAGATTGTTGGTTTCCCATAAATCATGAATCTGGGTATGACTATTACTATGAATATATAAATGCACAATAATCACCAGATTCCAAAAACTTGGACCATTCAATAACACAAAGATTTATACCATATAATGATTGTGCTAATAAATTGTCTGAAAGCCAATCCCATCACTTTGGGCATGTATTCGAATTCGATTCATAAAAGTATATGATGGTTAGGTGTAGATACACAGCAACTGCAAAATTTCAATTAATCTTACCTTACTAAATGATGTAATGGTTCTGAGTTGATTAAAACCAAGGTCCAGGTGCTTCAACTTGCTACATCTCCAAAGATTATCCACTTTAGCAAACTTGTTCCTACTTAGATCAAGAGTTTCAACAACAGGCAGGAGTCTCAAGGAATCATCCATTAATACCAAGCCATTATAAGCACAAGAAACAAATGATAATCGCTTCCACTGAGGAGAGTCCTCTATCTCAGCAATCCTACTAGCAAAAACATGTCTAAGCGCATCCTGGTTCACCTCAACAAGAAAGAAAAACAATGTCAAAAGTACTACTTTTACAACTATCAACTAGAAGTAAAATTAATCCTATTTTTAACCGTCTCATACTGTTAGAAATTGAACATGAAGTTCCATCAAGAAATGCACAATCAATCTTACAGTTGAATTGTGACAAATAATCTTTTCCAGCGTGTGCCTAAGTTCAAGAAGCCCTCGAGCAGCGGAGGTGGAGAGATCGCATCCACGAAGTTCAAGAACCTTCAAACGACCAAAGGGCAGCAAACAGACAGGCGTGGGGTCTCTGCTTGAGGGCGGTGGCAACACAGATATGACTTTAAGTGATGTAAGTATCCGGAGGATCCGTCGGAGCTGTTCAAGCGCCCTGTGATCGCCGAGGTCCGAAACGTATGCACGGAGGTAATCAACAGGAGCTCCGGCGAGAAGCCTCTCAAGCTCGGCCAATGATTCGAGTCTGGATTGAACATAGTGAAGGCCAACCGGATTCAGCTTCAGGACAAGGGTTCCTTCGATCAAGGGACCAACCTGCTTCTCCACGAACTTCACTAACGATTCCAAATACCGATCTCCGGTGACAATTGCAGCCATGTTGACTTAGAAATATGAAACGAAAAGGGGGTTTCGGGGAGTTAAGGTGAGAGAAACCGCCATGGTTGTAGAGAGAGAAGGTGAATAAAGCTGTCCATTTTGGAGGTAAAACCGGAAGGCAAAACACTGTTCCCTGATACTTCCCATCCCTAATTCACCATTTTCATCTGTTGACTTCTGCATCAAATCGAATTACAGTCTTGTTTGATTTTCAGAACATCATGATTTGTTTTTCATGTGTAAAAGTTTCGAATCCAAACCTATTGGATGGTTTCATCTTGGATTACATGATTCATCGAAACAAACCACATTATATATTTGGAAATTTGGAAACTATGCTTATGTTGACAATTTTTTAAAAAAATAGTTGGATACCAATTAGGTCACATAAGAACATAACGTTCGTGAACCATTCGATAGGAAGTTCGTTTATGTTCGTTTATTTAATAAATGAACGAACATGAACAAATTTTTTTGTTCGTTTAGTTAAACGAACGACCATGAACAAGAGTTTCGTTCGTTCATTTATGTTCGTGAACGTTTGTTCATTTACCGATCATTTATATTCGTTTATATACTAAATTTAATATACAATCTTTTATTTATTTACTTTAAATTCAAATAACATTCGTTTATGTTCGTTTACGTTCGTTTAGCATGTTAACGAACGAACATAAACGAACACGAACACATCTGATTTCTAAACGAACGAACACGAACGCAAAGATTTTCGTTCGTTTACTGTTCGTGTTTGTTCGGTTAAGTTAAACGAACGAACATGAACAAGCCTCTGTTCGTATTCGTTCGGTTCGTTTACAGCCCTAGCTATATTTGGTTGGCAGAAACTGAACTGAATCTATTAAAGAAATTTGAATTTGTCTGTTTGATTTGTTGATTAAAATAGTGGTTTGGTCGGAAGCAGTAGTTGTGTCAATGATCATGGCAGTGGTGATGGTGGTAGCGGTGGTGATGGTGTGGGGGAATGGCGACGATGGTAATGGCAGCTGCGAGGGGGTGGCAGCAGGGTTGTGTCGAAAGACGTACCAATATGTGATTCCGAATAGGGTCCCCAAAAAATTTAAGGCCCGAACTTTTTTGGGGCCCTATTATATGTATTTTGAAAATTGAAGATCGAAGATTTTGTTTTCAACAATATTAAGAGAATGATTATATTTAAATGAATTTCATATGTTACTTTATCATGATATCTTTGTTGTTTTAAATTGTAGAAGTTTTTAACTATATTTTGATGGAATGGAATTCTCTATTTTCATAATATCAAATATACCTTTAACCCAATATACTCTAATCTCATAAAACTCAATAGAACCATCATCGACCACCTTCGACCACCATAGATCTGCATCATTGCCGACCATCGCCATCTGAACCACCACTGATCTGAACCACTGTCTACCATTCTCATCTGAACCACCATGGACCACCATCGATTTGAACCACCGCCAACTACTGATATGAATCACCGTCGGCCACCTCCGACCATCATCGATCTGAACAACCACCGATCTGATCTATCGCCAATCTGAACCACCCCCTATCTGAACCACCACCAATCTGAACCACATCTAACCACCGGCACCTGAAGCACCACGTACCACCATCGATCTGAACCACTACCGACTACCACCGATCTGAATCACCGTTGGACACCGTCAACCACCAACGATTTGAACAACCACCAATCTGAACCACCACCACCACCGATATGAACCACCGCCCATCTGAACCAGCTGACCACCTCCACCTGAACCACCGCGGACCACCATCGATCTGAACCACTGCCGACCACGGCCATCTGAACCACTGCAGACTAGTGATGGCCAAACCGGCCCTGTCCGGGACCGCCGGAGGACTGGAACCGGGACTGGCCAAGGACCGGTCCGGGATCGATAAGGACCGGTTATAGGACCGCAGATTACATCCGGTTATGGTTTTTGTCGGATTTGTGAGACCGGGACCGGTTATGGACCGGCCTGGCCCGAAATATTAAAAAAATGACTATTTTTTTAAATATAGCCGTTAACTAGTCGTTTTTTACCGTTTTTTATATTTTTGGATTCTAAACACCATAAATATGTGACAAGGTTGAGAGGTTTACATGTTCTCAATTCGCAAAAAAATGTTCACAATTCTCGTAATAAAACATATTTTTAAAGTGTATTTGAGTGACCCGCACGATAAATTTAATAATGTATTATAAATATATATCATTAAAAAAATATTTTTTTAACGGTGGGACCGGTTGGGACTGAGACCGGCGGCCCATAACCGGTTATAAACAAACTTGACCGGTCTTCATCTATTCAACCGGGACCGGTTATGAGAAATCTTGGGACCGACCTGAGACCAATTTTTGGCCATCACTACTGCGGACCACCACCCGATCCAAACCACTGTGGACTACCACCAATTGAACCACCGACGACTACCATTGATTTAGTAAAGTCGTTTGGCTTATGAATATATTTGGGTTGTGTATTTCATATTGTTATACATATAAATAATTATTCTTTAAAGTATTTTTAGTTTTAAAAAAATAAAATTTTTAAAAAATGGCATTTTGGTCATTTACCAATATTTAATTCCAATTCCAAAGCTACATTTTGTGAACCATACAAACAGATTCCAATTCCTTAACAAATTTCATTCCAATGTCTACCAACCAAGCAGGTGGACAAACCTGACAACATTTCATTCTAATTCCTTGAAAGTCAAATTTCTTTAACAGATTACATTTCATCGAAAAACATTATGCGAACCAAACCCACCAAAGAGTATAATAGCTTTTATTGAAAAATTTGGATAAAGTAATTGGAATTCGTTGCTAGAAGCCAAGGAATTTGTATTCCACCATATATGGAATTCGGATTCCTTATCAAAATTCAAATAATGAACCAAACGCATGGATGGAATTTGGTGAATAGACTTGACCATTCCAATTCCTTCAGATTCCGACGAACCAAACACCATCTTAGGGTTTATTATAATTTATGTACACACTTATTTATATCAAAATCAAGTCAAATCACTAATTAAAAATTTAAAAGGTAAGGGTGTTTGGTTCGCAGAATATTCTCTGAAGGAACGGAATCTGTCAAAAAATATTGATTTTGAAGTAATTTGAATAGAATTTGACCACACGTTTGGTTGGAATGAATTGGAATGGAATCTGCCTATTTGATTGGTAGAATGTAGCTTCAGAATTGGAAAGAATAAACGATAAATGAGCAAAATACCCTTTTTATAACAGTGGTGGTCGGTTGTGATTCAAATTGGTGCTGGTCGACGTGGTTCAGTGGTGGTTCAAAACGATGGTAGTCGGCGATGGTTAAAATCGGTGGTGGTCGGCGATAGTTTAAATTGGTGGTTGTTGGTGATGATCGGTGGAAGATCAGATCAGTGGTGATCGATGGTGGTTCAGAACAATGGTCTATGGGTCTGGGTAAATCAAGTACGAAAGATCGGAAAAATTTTTGTCTTTTTGAAAAAATTGGATGGAATGGAATTGAATTTCTTCTCAATTGTGATAAAATGACCAAATTCATGAATGGTGGAATTTGTATAATTCAATTCCATTCCATAGGTAAACCAAACTCCTGAATGGAATTTAGTCAACATAATTGATCATTCCAGTTCTTTCAGATTTCATCGAAATCCTGTGAACCAAACGCCTTCCAAGTGTTGATGATGTATGTCAACATGAAATTAGTAGATACCTGTGCATTTAACAAATAATAGATGTGCATTTAGCCTGATCCAGAAGAAAATGATATTTATTGAGTATCAATAGAGATAAGCAGATACTGAATATGGTCATCACTTGTAATCAGTTAGTTTTTTAAAGATAAAGTTCTAAGAAGCTGTACTAAAGTAACTATAACAATTGCCCTTTAATTTTAAGGGATGTGTATTAATAATCAGTATCAAATCCATAATAAAATGTATCTGAAACTTCAACCAAAATAATTTATAATGTAGTATAGATATGATTAACTTTTTATATATTTTCCAGAAAATACGTTAAATCCAAAGTATGTTTAACGTGGCTCAACTGTACTTCTGCATCTATTTTCTTGGCAGTCTAGACGAATGTTCGATAGGTTCCTTATGATTTTTTTTATTAACCTGGATATCCAACCCGCTATGCGAGCCGACTAATTCCAAGGCAACCACCTGCTTAGCAGGTAGCCCGGAGTCACTGCATTTGAACCTCCGAGGCCATAAGGAGATTTTTATTCCTTCTTGGATTTGAACCTAGGATCTCCAGGCACTTTTGACCTTTGGAGCCCAAACTCAAACCAATCAGGCACCACCTTTGCGAATCACTTTCGAAACTCAATGGGTTCTTAATATGTTCAAGTTCAATGGATTTGAACCTGGGACCTCCTGGTACTTTTGACCTTTGGAGCCAAGTTCAAACTAATCAGGCACCACCCTTGTGGTTGCTTCTACTTGTATTGTCGTTTCATGTTAGGGTTTTATTAGTTCTTCGATTTTTTTTTTATAATTTTTATTATTGGTGATGTGGTTTTTTGGACCGATGATGAATGCATTACATGTTCTTGTTGATCCTTGATATGTGCTCGATAGTGTTTGGTACATGCTTGATAGGTGCTGGAGAGTGTCCGAAGGCGAGAATAGTGATGAAGATCACATACGATTATCACATAGATCAAGATGAGATTTATTATTGTGGGAATATTGTCTTACAAGAAGCAAAAAGAGACATAACTAAGAGGCCGTTTACCAAACACTTATTCGATAAGCGTTCATCAGTAAAATTTAACACTATCATTTACTTACCGGATAAGATTTCAGTCCACCAAAACTGTATCGTATGCAACAATTTTACCCTGTAAGCGCTTACTATGGTAAGAGTCGTCACCCTCACTTACCGGGTAAGACTATTGGTCCTTATCTCGCTCTTACCGGATAAGATTCTTGATCCTTACCATATTCATCCGGTAAGGTAATGTGATTTAGTGTTCACTTATCCAAGTAAGCGTTTGGTAAACGGCTCCTAAGCCATATTTGCTTGAAAATTAACAAGAAAATTATGATAATTGAGATCCAAAAAATATTGTATCGTTAGACAATCTGTTAATAAGATTGTTTCGATGAAGACTCTTAATTGGGCACCCTTCCTACCAGATATGTTTTATAATTCCTATTTTACCCCTGCTCTATTTAATTAGTAACTATCCTTCCTTGTATTGTTCATATTATTTTACAAAATTGTAATCATTTAAAACAACAAATACATGTAAAAATGTGTCATATGGTGAATCAAATACACGTGAAACTATCACATTATGCAATAAACATATGTTATGCAATATCTTAAATCCTAACATTTTTATGAAAAAAAATCATGTAAAAAATATTTTTAAATCAGTTCTCACGAGTTGATACATTTTTATGGTTCTTATTTGATTTTCCTCTCTCTCTCTCTCTCTCTCTCTCTCTCTCTATATATATATATATATATATTATAAAGCATTTGACTAAAACTCTTAAAAATCATTTTTTATGCTTGAAGTACTGTTTATTGATACATATTACTTAAAAATCAAGATTACAAATAAATTTTGCGTAAGTACAACTTATTAAAGCTTAATGTTTGAATTCGTGTAATTAACTACAGATAAACATAATCAAATAGATGATAAACATCTCATTTTAAATATAAAATATTTAAAATATAATTAAGATAATCATTGAATTCTAACAAAATACTTAATTATTATCTTTATAAAAAAATTATATTATTAAACCCAAAAAAATGAATTAAAGAAATACACAAAAAAGAAGAAATTTTAAAGTCATTTTGGTACTAATGTCAATATTTTTTTCAATTTTTTATAACATTGACCGAGACAAAAAAAAAACATTAAAATCGAGATGTATCTCGTTGCATTGTGCGAAAACCCTTTTAGTGTGTGTGTATTGATTTTAATTTTTAGTGACATCTCCTCCTTTTTTAATACCAAATTCTTCTTTCAATATATCACTTCCGAGGGTAACATAAATCAAGGTCTAAATAAGGACGAGTAGTATCACTCTGACCCTGAAAACCGTTTCAGATAAAGAAATCAGCCTTCATCCCTGCCTCGTTATCCTCCAAGGCGTGAAATCCCCTGGTATTAAGGACGAGTCTCTACATATGATAGATACCCATCTTGGTCAAATATCCATCTAGATGCTTCAAAATATTTTTCCATATAAGATTTCATAAAATTAAATTGGAAACCAAAAACCAAATTTATCCGCACAATCAAAAACATGTAAATTATCTTGGATGATGATTTGGCAATCATTCTGTTTATGTAGCATTCTAAACGTTCTGGTTCTGGTTCTGGTTCTGTTTATCTTGGGACCTCATATTGTTGCTTCGACCTACCCCCTATCTTTGGGACATATCAGTGGGGCCAAGACAGATTATAAAACAACTAAAGCTATGCGATATGGCAAATAACGTATCCCCAAGCCACGGTTCAGCTCATCTTAGTATAAGTAAATAATGACAATTCGGTTAATTATATCAAAGTTCTCATGTGCAACCCATGTGCTTCAATCAATGTAATGAAAGGATATTTCATATATCGCACGCTTACAAGCAATGAAAGAAGTTTGGAGGCCTAAACATGATTACCTCAACACGACACTAATCGACCTTGAATTGAGAATGAAAGAAAAATAATACTAATTAGAACATAGACTTAACCAGATTAAAATCAAAATACTTGTGACCATATCCCTGCATAATGCCATGAAAAGGACGGAAGATCTCAATCCATATCCCTAGACATGGATGGGCCTGCAGCATCTGCCTCGGTAGAATCAGATATGGGGATTGTTGGTTTACGGTTAGCTGCCTCCACCTTAAGCCTCTCGGCTTGCTTCTCAGCGTTCTTCTTCAATTCCAGCATTGCCATCTTCAGTTGCTCAAGCTGTTCAACTCCTAGAGTATCTATCGGAGCTTCCCACCAACACCTGTCTTGATTTATTTTCTTCATCTTGTCAAGTTCCTCACCGGTCTTTTTCTCAGCTTCGAGTTGTCGAAGTATGTTGGCAAGTTGTCCGGTGAGTTCTTGGGTGTTGGCATTGCGATGAAACTCCAGAAACTGAGATATGCTTGAACTTGGAGGAGGATGTTGAGCCAGGTAGCGATCTATAATCGTCTCAACACATGGATGGCCAAATGAGAATGCCTTTTTAGTTGGGGAGAATATAAGGATTGCAATATCCACCCCACAGAGGGTGCAGAGCTCGCTTGCCTTCTTGAAAATACCAGAATAACGTTTGGAGAAAGTGACAGCCAAGTTTCTTTCATCTGGTATTTTCTTCATCTCGATCTTTTGGCGACCTTTGGTTAGTTTAGGCATCATTTGGAGGATGAGCGGACGTTTCTCCAAGTAGGGTAAGAAATGTGTATCTATGGGATTATTTTCTTTTCTGGTTTGCTGTACAAGAAATTGATGGATATTTATAGAGCTCATCTTACATTGCGGGTGTTTGGATGCATTAATAATTTCATTAACTGTGTTCTGCTTTATGGATTATATTTTGATTTACAGGAAATTTACTTCCATATATGTTTTTCGGTTTGATTTTATTATATTTGCTTATGTAACGGAAATGATAAATTTTTAGAGCATCCACAATGAAGGTTCTTCTTTAGGTTTTTATCTGTGACACAGATTCTTGTTTAATCACAGGTTCTTGTTTAATCACAGGTTCTTACAAATTCTTACACTGATTCTTGTATTTTTATTGTTTTTATTGGTTTTTACCACTTTATTTTGTATAGTTTTAATAAAATTATAAAATATATTTATAGAATATATAAATGAAAATTGGTTAAAAAGTATATGTTAATAACTATAAAACATATTATATACATAAATAATATATTTATGATTAGATTATTTTTCAAATACTTTTAATAATATAAAATAAAATTAAAATATATAAATTGTAAATTAATAATTAGAGTAAATGACATGTTTGATTTTGTGGTTTATATGATATAACATCTTAAGTCCCTTGTTTAAAATAATTACAAATTATAACCCTATAGTATGTAATTTATAACGTTTTGGATCCCTATCACTAACTCCGTTAAAAACTCTCTTTAAACTCCTACACAAGGATGTTTTAGTCCTAACCTATTTTAGTAATTTTGTTAAAAAATTACATTACGTATGTATGCACAAACACATACACGAAAAATACATAATATACAAATAGAATGATAGAATCCCACATAACCTCTGACGCCCCACCCCAATTTGATCATCTTCTTAGCACAACTTCCTTACACATGCCACGACACTAGAAGCCATCTATTCCTCTTGATTTGGGCGTTGCCACCAATATCCTTCCGATTTAGGCATTGTTGCATCTCCGGTTAAGTCTATTGCATCTCCAACATATGGCGACCCATCTGCAACTTCTATTTCTCCCACCATACTATCTTTATCTATCCACGTTAAGTCGTATCTCCTCATCTTCATCTTCCCCGAACAAAACCTAAATGGGGTTCCTCATCGTCATCGACATGTAGGAGAAGCATGTTCAATATCTTCTTCTTCTCAGGCTGCCTTTCTCCCCCTTGGTCTCAGCCATCTTCGCCCCCATCCCAGCCATCCACACCTCTTCTCCCTTTCCAAAGAATTAAGAATTGCCAGTATCATATCAGGGTTCCATTTAGAGATTTTCAATGGGGTTTTTGCATTAAAGTTTTCATTTTTAGGTTCGAGGCTTTGATTTATGATTTTGATTTTACATAGTTTTGTGCCACAAATCCATTAAATGAATTTCTGTGTAAATTTGTTATTGATGTTCTTATGTGTTCCTGATATATTAGATCCATTTGGCGTTCTTGTATTTTCTATGTTGGTGTTCATTTTGATGATTTGGGCTTTGATTCTAGTTTCGGTTTTCAATTTTGATTTGAAGGGGTTTTATTAGTTTCATCTGAGAAGAAGAAGGGTGATCTTGGGGTAAGAAAGAAAGGGGTGGTGAGGCAAAAGACATGTGAGAACAGAAAACAATAAAATAACAAAAATACCTCTGAGTTAACATAAAAGTTTTAACTGAATTAAAGAAAGGGGACTCAGAACGTTATAAATTGCATAACATAGGGTTGTAATCCATAATTAATTTTAAAAAAAGACCTGAGAAATTATAACATATAAACCACAGGGACCAAAAATGTAATTTACAAAATAATTATTAAATATATTTTTGAGTTTAGAAAAGAGTAAACTCTAATTTTGGTCCTTGAGGTTTAGTGAAAAGTCAGAAAGTGGGACTTATACTTTGATAAGTCTAAAAATCATCCTTATGGTGTGCATTTTGCTTTGAAAATGGATCTTAGTCACTAACCCTAATAAAAGATCCGTTACATGAAAGGTATTTTTGTCTTTTTATCTATTTCCTTAATTCTCTTTTAAAAAATTAAATGAAAACTTATATTATATATATATAATACATATATAAAATAAAGTTCAATTGCAAAACGATTTTCGGTCATGAATGGGGGGGGGGTGGGGTAAAGGAGAGAGTGACATGTGTCCCCCCGTGTCCATGTTCAGTATGAATCACGAATGTGAACTTTTATGGACCAATCATGATGAACAATACAACATTCATGATGAATAATACACATTCATCATGGTGATACATTATTCATGATGAATAACCCGTGAAGGTGTAAGACGCGTGTCACGATCTTCGTTGTCCCTCGGTTCACAACCGAAAAACGGTTTTTAATTGAACCTACCCCTACATATATATACATATCATACACACACAAACCGAAAGTCACTGGGATCATCTTCGTCTCCCCCTTTCCCGCTGGTTCCAGTTGATCCCCACATTCTTCCTCTCATTCGTCTTTGTATAAAAAGGGCAATAATGGAAAGAAAGCAACAAAAACCAACCTTGTTTTATATACAGATTTGGAGAAGTTTGGAGTGGATGAAGAAGCAAAGATGGAGACACCTAACATAGTGGCTTCTAGCCAAGGAGAGATTTCCGGTGACTTAACCAGAGCGAGCTTGGGGCAGGTTGCAAGTCTGTTGGAGGTGGAATTGCAATCTATTGGAAGAGAGAAGGATCAAAGAAGAGGGAGGGTAGCTCGTGGTTCTTCATGATTGGAATTTCGAAGGTCCAAATATGCTCGAACTCATCAAACCCCATAAGTCTTCATTGAATTTCAAAGCTCCACGTTTATGGTTTTCATTTCTTGAACAAATCATAGGGACAAATCGTCCCCTTTGATGAACAAATCACATGGACAAAGCACAATCACATAGACAAAACCAAATCGAGTATGCCATTAAACCCAAATTTTGGAGATGAAACATGGGAAGAAGATGCATACGCATTTTATGGTTTGGTTTGAGCTTCGATCTGGGTTTAAGCTTCGATGAAGATGCAAGTTGATCTGGGTTTGAGCTTCGACCAACCCCACCAATCCACCACCACCTCCAGCCCCACTGGTCCTTGCCGGAGTTATGTGGAAAACGACATCATCCTTGTGTTAATGTCCTTGTGTTTTAAAGTGTATACATATCAGTGCTCAAAAAAGAGCGGCATGGCGTGCATCATAACCCATAGTGTTTGTGTAAGGCGTGGTTCACGCCAAGGTGCACGTTTTTTTAGACGTGATTTTTTTCAATTTTTTATTCTTTTTTAATTTAATTTTTGTGTTTTTACCTTTTTAGCTTTAGATTTATATTTTCACAAACTTAGTTAATCACATCACTCACATCGATTTCACACATGTTACAGACTCACTGTTAAAACAAAGTTGTAAAACTCTTCCAATTTTATTTTAAATATCTTATCACAAAAATTTTATATAAAACTAGTTAATTTATATGAATGTAAAAAAAATTATCATTACATTATTAAATAGTAAATAGAAAACATATATATATATATATATATATATATATATATAAAGAGAGAGAGAGAGAGAGAGAGACTTGGGATCATGTGAGACCAATGATTTTTCGTGAGACCCGTAAGACCAATTCTCAACCTTTGGATTAGATCTACAATCATCAGATCTGAACATTCATAAATTGCACAAGACTTCTCAATAATCACAAAATTGTCACCGTACAACTTTATACCATTAGGTCATTAACTTATAAAGTTGATCAATGAATATAAATTGGTCTTATGGGTCTCACAAAAAACGTTTGGTCTCACGTGAACTTAACCTTATATATATATATATATATATATATATATATATGACATACTAATTTGCCGCCTTATGTCACGCTTTAAAAAAAACACCACTTCCTCACAATGGCGTGTAAGGCTTAAGGCTTGAGGTCGGTGGTCATGCCACATCTCACCTCATTTTGAATCTTGATATATATTCATATACATACATACATACATACATACATACATACATACATACATACATACATACAAGATAATATATTTTACTAAAACCATAAAAATACTAATGTCTCTCACACTAACGGACATTACTAACAAGTCAGTGACTAATGATCATTTTCGAAACAAAATACAAATCATAAGGATGATTTTTAGATTTAATAAAATACATGTCTCACTTTCAGATTTTTCACTAAACCTGAAGGACCAAAATTGAAATTACTTTAAACAAATGTCAAAATGCCTAATATATAGATTGTGATATATATTTTTATTTATTATTTAAACAAAATGTATATAAATTAATAAACTAAAAGTAATATTAAAAACGTAAATTAATAAATTATATTTTAATTTTTTAATAATTTCATTATATATATAAAATAAATTGATGTAATTATCTATAAATAAACAAACAAATAAAATTACATTATTATTATTTATAAATAATAAAAATGGAAAAATAAAGTTCTTATAAGAACTTCATTAGAATATTTCCAACAGATATGTTATATTTTTTTTCTTTTTTTTTTTATTATATTTGGAGATTTCTCCCTTTTTTCTCTGTTTTGTAGGAGAGTTTAGCACTGTTTTAACAAATAGTTTTTTTCTTAAATCTCCAAAAAATTTAAAATAACACAGATGTCAAAGGTACTCTTAAAATTTCATTTTTTGAGTCTGATCATGCATTAATAATACCATTAAGTTTGTTCTCTGTATGGATTTTAATTTTAATTTTAATTTAAAATAAATTAAATTCCATATATATATATATATTATTTATATATATATATATATTATATATAGAG